TTCTGGCTTCCCTTTTTTTCTCCCTCCCACTCCCAGATTGTTGCTCGGCAGATGATTGCCCAGGGAACGCCGGGTGCTATTGTGAACGTCTCTAGCCAGGCATCTCAGCGTGCTCTGCGGGATCACGCTGTTTACTGTAAGCATGTGTAGCTTTAGCAGTGCCCCTTTAATTTTTGACTAGCTGGAGACCCGCAGCCACCAAGCTGCTGGCTGCCAGTTCTGGGCAGTGAAATACTTCTGTGTGTTGCAGACCAAGTGCTATGCACTTAAATGCCTCCTGTTCTTCCCTTCTCTTGAAGGTTCCACAAAAAGCGCTTTGGATATGCTGAGCAAGGTAATGGCAATGGAACTGGGACCCCACAAGGTAGGATTCTTCCCGAGAGAAAGAAAAGTGTGAAAGCTGAACCTGAGCATTTCCTCTCCGAGCCGTCTGGTTAGATTGTTTGTTGCTCTTGGTCCCAGATCAGGGTGAACACTGTGAACCCCACAGTGGTTATGACTGACATGGGGAGACTTAATTGGAGTGACCCTCAGAAATCTGCTGCCATGATTAATCGGATTCCGCTGGGAAAGTTTGCAGGTCAGTAGTGTAGGTTTGTGCGAGGCTGGGCTCTTTCGCTGTATCCAGGCCTCCCCTCTGACTGCCATCACAGCCACAGGTACCTTGCTGCTTTTGTGGGCAAAGCCACGACTGCTGAATGGCTGTGGCTGAATTCCTGAAGCATTTGATGAGGACAGGGTGAGAATCAACCTCGTCTTCCCTCTTCTACAGCCTTGGCATCCTAGGACAAGTGAAATGCACTTTGTTGTTCATAAATAGGACTGGGAGGGCAGCATGGGTCTTGCTGTGAACTAAGTATCATTTGATTGCAACAAGGGCTTTCTGATGTCCAGCTCTCAGCCATGCTGTCCTGTGTACTGCATCAAGCACAGTTCACGGGTCGAGATGTTTCCTTTCTCTGATTACGTGTAGAGGTCAAAGGCATACCTTGTTTTTCTAGTGCAATTTGAGATGTTCTCTGTGTTTGATTCCAGAGGTGGATGATGTGGTGAATGGCGT